GAATAATAATAATAAAGTTATATGTAAGAAGGACAGATTGAAGAAACAATTAAGGGAAAAAAGATAGGGGGATCACAAGTATAGGGGCAGAAAAAAGAAAAGTGGAAAAATGAAAAGGAGAAAGAACACATTACTTTGTCATCTCCTTATTTTATTTGTCCATACATACAGAGATATGGAAGAAATATTTTCTATGTTTCTTTTTGTCCTCTTTTCTTTTTATAACAGTTCTCAAATCATCTTTATAATGTATAAACATGAGTGCGGGGGAAAGGAGTGTCTCGAGTTCTATGAGGAAGGTCAATAAAAGGTGTTGCAGTAAATAATAGATATATAAAAATATCTACTTATCAGTGATCACACACTATATTGGCTAAATTTACTTAAAATGCATGTCTCTAAATGCTTATCATAAACATATTCAGCATTATAACTGTTTTTGATGATTAAATAAATAGTAAACAAAAGTCTAAAACTAGCTAAAACAAGGAAACACCTTTGCAAGATTGGAAAATATAACATACATCCAGCTGGAGCTTTCTTGGACTCGCCTTTTTGTGTGTTATCAGTATTAATAATTCAGTCATCAATACCGCATAAAAAACAAAAAGTGAGATGTCTTTTGATAAAAGTATCCTTGTTTAGATAAACTGTATCCTTGTTTAGATAGTTTAGTTTGTATAAGATTACAGATTGTTGTGAATCAGGATAAACAGCATCTGTACTGGAATGGGGCTGGGGAGGAAGCCCAGATGTCGGTCACAGAGCCGTTACTCTTATAAATAAAAATGAGCGTGTCAGCCTTATTTTCAGCGTAATGGTGACGGTATGATGAAGTGTAACGGCCTCCTATGCTGAAATATGCTTATAACAGCCTTGGCGATGAACCTTTTGTTGAGCGTTGAGTGAGGGGCCTAGTGAGCAAACGTGACAAAGCTTGAGTACTGACAGAGCACCTATGCGTTCACAAGGGTGACATACAACACCTTTGCAAAAATGCCCAGTGGCAGGATTTTGCCACAACTGCAAAGCCTTTTCGGGTCTTGGTAAATTTCTTAACAGATAAACTCTTTTTATTCAAATATCTGGGGGAAAAAAATGTAAAGAGCATTAAAGAATAGCCAAAGGAAGTGATGACCTACTACATCATAAAGTAAGAATCTTCATTTCCAGTTCATCAGTACCATTGTCCTACACTTTTTAGATGTGTCTGGGCTTTAAAACAACCACTTCCAATAGTCAGGTCATTCAAAAATATAAAAAAACTATCTCTTTTAAGACTGATCCATGGAAAAAAATCTATCAAAATCATAATAGCTGTAGCCCTTAATGAGTAAGAAGGCACCACTACTGCAGAGTTAGCGAAACAGTCGGCGAACATCAGCACTTCCATGGCCTTACGGTGTTTGGGTAAAATGATCTAGTGTGTTGACATCATGCAGCGTTCAGCATCACCTAACAAAAAGACCACTGAACATGCCATTGCAGCATGACAGCGAGCACAGAAAAATAGACAGAGTCAAGTTTTGTATGACTTAAGGCTATACAAACAGGCTACACAACAAAATCCTTGTTTTGCTTTTCCCTAGCAGCCCAACCGAACTCTTAGCCGAGCCTAACATTTGTTGAATATTCAAATAACAGAGACCCACAGCTGCAGCGACAGCATTAAGGATACAGTGTAGCTCACAGCCTTCCACGGCCGAGGCAGGAGAGGGATATAAATCCCAAAGGTGACTACAGTGAGGTAGATGTACACCAGCCAACCAACCACCTGTAAGGGCTGAGGAGGCCACGACCAGCCATTGATCCTGGGGGTCTTGGAAGGGACCAGTTCACTTTTACTGCTGCCATGTGCAGGAACTGTGCGTCTCAACCTCCGACCAAAGCAGTTCATCTGGAGAGGAGAATAACAGCAGGCTTGTAGTATATATATACACACGCACACTATTCTACAGCAGAGTATAAGCCTATTTGCTGGGGAAATGAGTTAGGAAAATGAGCTGATGATAAGGACAGCGACAGTTCAACTAGTGACCAATGGAGCTGTGCCCAGTGCCTGCTACTTTGGCTATTAGAGGAATGGATGACACACTAGCCCATGTTCAGCTTATATGGGAATAAAAAGAACGGAAACCAACATAAATATGTAATGTACAATTAAAGACATATCAACGATGTGTATTCTTACACAGAAATAGAGAAAAATTTTTTATTTTTTTTTTTCCCCTTTTCAAGCGTTCATTGTCATTACACTGTCACAAGTATAGAGCAACAAAATGAACACTGTATTTAACCCATCCCCTTGGGGAGCAGTGGGTTTGCCATTGTGCAGCGACAGTGGAGCAGTGTGGGGTAAAGGGCCACTCTGCCACTCTGGTTCAGGGACCCAGAGTGGCTGTCTGTGGAAGTGGGGCTCAAACTCAGAACCTAAGGATTTCAAGCTCTATGCACTAACCACTAGGCCGTCACTCCCCCAATATCTGGAGGTCCGTGTTCAGATTCAGGACAGAAATATTAGAGAGGCACCAATCAGAAGCCCGGGATGGGAGCTGATTCTTGCTGCTAAGAAAAATCCACAAATATCTAAATGTTTTCCAACATTTCAGAAAAAAACAATCTGCCCAACTGAGGAAACGTCATGCAGGGCACACAGTTTAACAGATAGTTAAATAGCCTGGGATCACAGACCAGCTGTAGAAAAATAACTGTTCCTTAGAATATTCCTTTATTGTTCTTCTGAGCGAAATATCAGGTGCAGCGGGAAGTAAAAGAAAAATGATCCATGGATTCTTCTTACTCCATGTCTAAGAATGCTTTTGTCTGCAAAGTCTTGTATCACAAATGATGAGTATTAGAATTTCTGACTATCTAATATCTAAAGGCCTCTAAGATATGACGCTCTAAGGGGCCTTGATCAAATAGGAATTTTGCAAATTCTTTTAAACAGCAAATTCCTTGATGCACCATCAGCATGTACTGCAGGAGCATACATTTGGGGTTAATGAATACATAGGCTTGGGTTTAAAAGGTCTTTCAAGTAACAGACCATGCAACAGCGGTTTGAATTTCAACAATCACTGTGATGCTCATAATTATGGCTTTAAATCTTTGACAGTGGAATGCTGGTATCCCAGTCTGTGATAGTTATCTTTACAAACCACTGAAATGTTTTATATCCATCCATCTTCTGTCACGCTTCATTCCTGCTGGAGTCGGAAGGGGTTCCTTAACTGGTGCCTATCTGCAGCTGTCTACAGGCGAGAGGCAGGGTGCACCCTAGACAGGTCGCCAGTCTATCACAGGACAACACAGGACACAAAACCATTCTTGCACACACTCACACCTAAGGAGAATCTAGAGAAGCCAATTAACCTAAGTCTTTTGGACTGTGGGAGGAAGCCGGAGTACCCAGAGAGAACCCACGCATGCTCCGGGAGAAGATGCAAACTCCATGAAGGAAGACCCCAGGCTGGGAATTGTACTCGGAACCATGTTGCTGCAAGGCAGCAGTGCTACCCTCTATGCAAAAATAAAAAAATAGTTTGTTTTTTTTAGCTTGTAAACACATCTAAAATTTAATTTTAATTTAAAAATGGTGAAAAAAACAAATAAAATACAATAAAATACAAGCAGAAACTGCTTCATGCTTTTGGTGATGTCATCAGAGGCATATCTGTGTGAAAGCTTATTTTTGGTGTGTGTGTGTTTGTTGGGGGGGTTGCTTATCTTGATTAATTTACAACAAAATTGCAAAACAAGCAAACCAACAACAGACTATCCAACAGTTAACAAGTAACATCATCTTTTATGGTATCCTGTGCATTTACTTTGAGAACTAACTGGAGGTTAAGTTTTAAGATAAAAACTGTATTTAAGAGAAGCAACAGAATCTACAATAAGGGATAATTGAGGAAGGCGTTCAGGAAACAGCTGGCCTAAAGAGTTGCACAAAGTTAACGTCCCTCTTTCAGAAACCACGTGACCTTTCACCTCAAAGTCTTCAATAAAACTGCACAGATATATTTAGAAATGCACTTTAAACATATCCAGGTCAGACTATTTGTTAATCTTGTAAAAATTTCCCTATTCAAATATTCTGACCTTTTCCTTCACATATCCCCATCATCCAGGAACATTTGGGTTTTTTCCTCTGTTTGTCTGCAACTTTAATGTTTTTAACACAAACAACTTTGTTGAACCTCTCAAAAACATCCACCAACGCCAACAAAACACGCAATTATTCATTGAAATTTTAACTTACCGTTTTCCGGGGAAAACCACCATAAAAAGTCCAGTTACAAACGCAAAAGGAGATTTCCACCGCATATCCTTGAGGTGTTTTTTTTTTGTTTATTGGCTGAGCAGGTACGTCACGTCAGCAGTTTACGTTCACATTATGTGAAATCACACAGAATCGATTTTAAATATATTTATAAAAAAGAACATTCAGATTCAATTGAAAGGTTTTTAAGCCCTTGCCTTGTAGGAAGAGCAGTCAAAAGTTAAAAACGCCTCCCTCAGCAGGTCTCAGGAGCGCTATGGTAACGTGCGTGGTGCGCATGCACAGGGCGGCTCCTTTCATCAGCTCCATTTCTGTTCTCTAATCCAAAACAGCTATAGTGATCTTTTAACAGTATTTATTTTTTTGTTATACTTTATATCTTCGTTTCCCCTTAAAGGCACAAGGACATTTTCTGCTTTCAAAGTTTAAACTCGTTTATCATTTCAGTGCAATCTCTTTTCTAACAGGCATGCAAATATATGCAGCACAAACGGCTCCATGCTTTCACTTCCTTTAATTGATAGCCCACAAATGTAGCTTTTTTTATTTATTTATTTAAAGCCTTTAAAATGATTAAACTTGACGTCATTCAAGCGTCTCTACATCTGCTTTCTTTACTGTAAATAAACTATATTTATCTGTGTACCAGTAACACCCTGCATGTTACTTTACTTTAGCACAACACATACATTGAAATAATTCATGACAACATACATACATAGCAAGTATTTATTCTCAAAGGGCTGCCTTGTTACAAAAACATATAAACACAACACAGTCTGTACACCAATGCTCAGTCTTAAAGAAATGTGAAGAACCATCTGCCACAGTTGTCTTTCATTAGTAGAGAACTCATAACAGATGGTCTGTGTGGGTGATCAGCTGTTGGCGGAGCCCTCTGGCTCTGGAGACTGCAGGAACTCGTACGGATCGTGAACCATTTCCGAATGGTCTCCAACACCCAGGTGAGATGGACTCCCTGTGGATGCAGGAAATTTTAACTTCCAACGACTAAAGAATTTATGTTGCATGTCTTGTAAATACCTAAGTGGTGTTGGTCTCTTTCAGAAGCGTTTGAAAGCGAGGAGAGGTTGGATGAGGGTCGGGAGCAAACTCTTTCAACCTGAGCCTCCTGGAACTCCTGCAGGAGTTTATCAGCGTCATCATAGTGCTGGTGGCCTTCTTCGTTCCCTGGCTCCTTTTTGACACTTTTACCTGTTGATGTAAATGTGATAGTAGGTTTAAATCCACAAGGAAAAGAGGCTAGATGTGGAGGATGTTAATCATGAAGAGGACATTTTACTGCCGTTTGTTGAAACTAATGAAATGCTAGCACAGATCACGATTTTTCAACCTGGTACCACTTTTTATTTTCTGTTATGTAAACCAGTTAGCCCCAACCCCCGGGTCCCTGTCTGGTAGGGGTCCATTTATCAATTGGTTCAGGGCTGGACAAAAAGAATAAATAACTTTCATTATTTCCAACTGATTTATTTTCTGAGCCTGAATGGTGTTACATTCTGACTCACTGTTGACGTATGTCAGCCACGACAGCGAAAAACAAGTGATACCTCCCGCTTTAAACGCCCCAACGTCTCATTGCAGCAAAACAAGCTCAGGGCTCCCACTAATTCACTGCTATTTTGACTAGTTAATAGACTGTTTCCTTATGCACTTTGTTTTTGTGGCACCTTATTTTAAAACAAATTGTGACCAGAGAGTACTATAGCTAAAGATCGGGTTATCCCAGAAAATATTGTCAAACATTAAACCAGTCTGTAGCGTTAAAAAAAGATTGGTTGCCACGGATCTAAACTACCTATTCTCTTGTTTGTTTCACAAACATAATACATTGCAGGTTCTCTGATGAAGGCAGAAATTTTGTCTCCAACAAAAATTAAGGCATTACAGATTTATCCTAACTCACACTCTGAATATTTTTCTAATTTTCATTATACCTAAAAAAAATAAATAAATAAAAGTTTCAAGATGCAGGCCTATGGACCACAGGTTTAACTGGCTTAAGAGAAAAAATAAAACACAAAAAATTGAAAGGCCTGCGGACCATTGATCCGAGTCAATTAGTGGGGATCCTGATTGCACATCCTCTTTGTTTGCTTCTCACACCTCCGCCTAAAGCAGTAACTTTGGTGTTGGGTTAATTTACCAGAACGGTTCAACAATCTCTGTGACTACTTCAAACCTCACCATCCACCCTCCCGCACTCTGACATCCACCGTCAGCAATACGAAACAACCCCAACTTTCTGTTCCTCTCCACTCCACGTGGCTCTAGTTGGACCGCTAATGCATGCTCTTTTCCAGCTTTCTGAATCCAGAGGTGTAGCTTTTTACCAACTCACAGAGACGGTCTGCATTGGTATGGAGCGAACGCGTACAAAAGCAGAGGATGTGTAATCCGGGTGTAACTCCCCCACTGCTGCTGCCTCTCATCTTTTCCAGCTCATATCATTAGATAATGTTTACAAAAATACTATTTTGCTAACCTGGGTGATTTGGAGAGATCAGGACGCCGACACTGCTGCACATGTGACTACATTACAAGATTATTGAAGAAAAATACTCACCTAATGGGTTGAGCATAGAAATATCTAGGGACATATCTGGGTAGTTCTTCATTGATATGAAGTCCATCACTGAGCTGCTTTCGCCAAGGCCGGTGCTGTCTGACATCTGGATAACAACATTTAAAAAAAAAAAGTTTTAGTCAGATATTTCATATTCTAAGAGAACATCTATGAGAGACCGATGAGTATGAAGATACCTGCATGTCACAGATGTTTGACTTGTTTTCATCAGTTATCAACATTATGTTTCTTTTCTGCAATATAAAATATGTTTTACACAGAAAGCAAACAAAGATCCAACAAAGCTGCCTGAAACAACATTTTTAAAGCAGCAGATTAAAAAGCACTGCACCTGTCGAATCTGACTGACAGCTTTTGAATGATCGCCTCCAGTCATCTTGTCCAGAAGTTCATCGACCCAACGCTTAGTGACGCCTCCACAGCCCTTCACAAAGTCCTGTATGCTGATTAGAAAAAAAGAAAAAGAAAAGAACAAGGCTGACTCTCACTGCAAACAGTATGAACTAAAAATGTTGATTATCACAGCTGGATTTGTTTCTCTCTACCTCAGAGCACACTGCACCCCCGTCTCATCTCCGTATGCTGAATACAGCATCTCCGTCTCGTCGGACTGCAGGTCTGGAAAGACTGAGTTTTTCTGAAGGCTCTGGATGTTGTAAGCGCTGCTCAGAAACGTAACTACACAAAAACAAACACTTAGGTTTGGACACTTGAATTTTTGATTCTAATAAATTATAAGATGAGACGAATACCCTGCATGATTAAAATTAACAAAAAAAGATGTACCTTTGTGTCTCCTGTCATCTTTGAACCCTAAAGTTGTTAGTCCTGGTAAAAGCTTGTTGGATAGAGAACTCAGATCCACTTTATGGGTCTCCTCTTCTGCAAAACAAACCAAAAGAGCTAATATTTAACTTCTCATCCAACCATCTCCAATCATATCATTGTAGATGCAATGTGTTCAAAAACACGGGGGTTTTAAACAACCATCTCAAATAAGAGCAAACCTTCAGCATCAGGGTCAAGTTGGTTTACGACCGTATAGAGCAGAGTGCCGTCTGACTCTTTGCGTAAATAACCCATCTGAAAACACAGAAAGATGTACGCTCTTCAAACGGCACAGTTTTAAGCCATCTCATATGGCGAGAGAAGTAGAGTTTATACAGACAACCGTTAGTTATGTGCTGCATAAACAAGAGCAAATGTGACCGACCTTGGAGCTCGGCATGTATCTGTTGATGCGATCACGGGCTTCATCTGCAGAATGCTCCACCAGAGCCAGAACATGTTCCTCTGCTGTGCTGTCAGTCAGGCTGCATGCGTTTCCCTCTGGCTCAAACAGGTAGCTGAGGAGACAGATGTGATGCTGCTATACTGAAGATAGATTCACCGAATGTTTCAGCTCTTCTAATGGTCAGCGTGACATTACAGTTAGAATTGGGGGGAAAAACCTGGGGACTGACTTGATGTCTTTAGCCGGTTGTTTTCTGGACTTTTTCGCAGATTCCACAGGGAGGGGGATCGTTTCTGGAGGAGGGAGATCAGCGGTCAGGTCTTCGTCTCCTAAAATAGCTGCCTGCTGTGTGAAATCCATGTCCTGCATGAAGGACATGCTGCGCTTCAGGGCCAGGAGGCGATCCTGTACAAATAAAACAAAAGGCAAACATTATACCACCGTATAATGATTTCATCCTTTTGTTTTCAAATCCCGGACTTTCTCATTCAAGTTTTTAAAAAATTGACCTGAAGTGTACATATTCCACACAATGTTGTCCTTTGCATCACTAACATTGCTTGAATGATCAAGATTTCTTTAAAACAATTCTGGTTGAATGTATTTATTTAGAATAAAATTAAGCTTAATCATTCATGTGAGGCCTCATATGTTTAATATGCATACATACTATATACATACTGCATTCACCCCAGAAATATATAAATAATATTCAAGAGCAGTTCATTCAAAGCAAGTTTCAAGACACTTTATTTTTTTAGCAATAGATGACCCATCAGGTAGGATTTCAGAAATTTGTTCACTGCTACGGTAGCTTGTTAGGTCCAGAGAGGCCTAATTTTTAGAGACATGTTAAGAAACACTTGTGCTTTCTCAGTTGGGTGGAAATTATTACCTTACTCATCATTTTGAACCCTGTATGAAGTAGTTTCTTAGCAGCTTTGTAGTAGACAGTTTCTGGTCGGTTATACACCATGGCGTTGTCACACATCAGTTTAAAGTCCGCCTGAAGGTTAAAAGAAATCACATGGAGAAAACTTTGCATATGGCCTCATTTCTCTTGATGACACAAACTAAATAGTCACTGTTTTTCAAGGTCTGATCAGTGTATTGTCACCTTGAACTCAGTCACTGTGTTGTAGTCGTTGTTCCTGATCTTGTCTTTCATCGTGCTGAAGTCCATGGGATGTTTGATGATAGACGAGTAACCGGGAGCGATTGCATCCGTCACTGGGAATGCAAAGAATCCATGGGGATCTTTCCTGAGAACAAACAAGCAACAGCAGAAAGGTTTCTGACTTGGAAGAATGTCCTTACAGAAAAGCCTTGATCTTATCTTGTCCCAAATTCTGGAAGATCATTATAATAAATATAGACATGTTTTGTGAATTCTGTTCCGAAAAGCAGATGTGTTTGGAATTGTTTTTTTTTAGAAGCAAGTCTAGTTTTTGACTTAATGAGAAGATGAAGATTTGGAGGATGTCACCCTTCATCTTCCCTAATCATCTTTTGTATAAAACAGCTTTATAACGAGCTGCTGCATTGTTTCTATCTGTCAACTAGTGTTCACCAAAAGCCAATGAGGCCCCTGATGGCAAAATAAGTACTGTGAGAATAAAACTGGATGTCGGAGGCAGCACTATTACACAGCACATTATTAAGCATATGTTGCTCTCAACAAATGCAAATTTATGCATTTTTATGCCCTTAATGAGGCTGTAAGGAAGTCCAAAACTCAAAATGGTCTGTCTCATTAGGAAAGTATTAGGTTTCATCTTAGCTCATTTTAATCTGTTGTTAATATGCTTGGCATATAATACGCTAAATGCAAACTGATACATTTGGAAAAAACAACAAGCTCAAAATAAAAAAAAGTTTTTCTAACAGGAACTCATTGGTTTGTATGTTGACACTGTTTCCTCACTAAATGTTTGCATAGTTTGGGTTTCTGCTACATTGGAAATTCCTTCTACATGATAAGAACCTCTCACTATTATATATTCAGTCACGGCGTCATTCACATCTTCTTTCACCCTGGGTGAACTTTTGTTTCGCTTGATTTTATTAGAATTCAACCATAGCTCCCCTGGAGAGATATAAACTTTAGAGTAAATGACTGTTTCTCACCTCTGCAGCTGCCTCAAAAAGTGTTCCAGCAGTTGTTGGCGAGGGGTTGACTCATTCTCTGCATCGACAAAAACAGAGAAATACTTTTAAGAAACTGATTTTCCCATGTATGAGGAACCCCTTCTGAAATTTGGATAAGGATTCCCTCCTGCCTTGTTGTGTGCGGCATGATCTAACAGGTCTGTCTCCTGGCTGCTCCACTTCAACCTTCACAGTGGGCTGAAACTCCTCCACTTCAGGTTCTAATTCGAACTTCTCTTTCTTCCTCTTTTTCTCCTCAGGCTGATAAGATAAAAACTTAATATACAGGGCTTCAAATAAATGATTATTAATCCTCCAAAAGGTTGGGTCATCTCACCTCTGAGCCTATGTTTATGCTTTTCGGCAGAGTAAATGGTTCAACAGGTGCCACACCAGCAGCTGCTGCCTCTAATTCGTTCTGCTCTCGCTCCCTCTTCTTCCTCTTCTCCTCCTGTTAAAATAAAACATACATTTTATCCAACAGCCAGGTGACGGACGGCGTGCTGTTCTGCTGCGTACTAACCTTCCTACGCCTTCTCTCCTCCTCGTCTACATACTTGTCTTTATCCTTCTCAGACTTCTTCTTCTTCTTTTTCTTCTTCTCTTTATGTCGCTCTCGCTCGTGGTCCGACCTGTCGTCGTAGTCGAGCCCTGACCCAGAGAGCTCGGTCACCTCGCTTCCTCCTACTTTGAGCTTGATCTTGAGGGGCTTCTCAAGAGCCTTGTCCTCAAAGTCTACAACCAAATCAGGCGTTAATATGCAGGAAGAATGGGACCCAGAAATATCAATCTGTTCATTATAGTGAACTCTACACCACGCCTATAGAGAAGGCTAAGTAAATAAAAAAATTGTAAATATACATAGTACTTTATTAAAGTTATGCTTTCTAATTAGGGTGAAGCAATGATATGACGTTTAACATAACTGTTCGAAGCTTTGAAAAACGAATCAACCCCTTTAACTTTCATATACATAATATCAAACGTCACAATTTCCTATATTTATGTAGCTGGGATTTTATGGAAAAGCGCAGAATTTTGAAATACATGTTTCTAATTAACTTATTATGGGGTTACTTCCATCATTGTATACCTGTATAACTAAGGTATTGATCAGCAACGATAGTTATTGCTTAGCATTTCAGTTTAATACGCAAGTATATAGTATTTTGTGTATAAGTACATTGAAGTTCGAAAGAACAGATAATTTCCAAAGTTTTTCATTTATTAGGTGAACTGAATAATCTACTCTGCTGTGTAATGTTGAATTAAATGTGAGTCTAACACCTTAGTAGTGCAATTGTTGTGTATTGCATAATTCAAATCAAAAACAGAACATTAAAAGTGAGAAATAAAACTATTTTTCTTACAACTTACAGCACATTCAAGGAGCAGTGATGATACCCGAAACTTATGTCAGTTTTATGCATAATTAGTATAACAAAGCAAATTGCCTATACAACATGAATTACAAAATACTTAGTTTCCTTTATGTACCTGCAGAAGTGTAAAAGATTGTATTAAAAAAAGCATAACTTTAATCACAACATCTCTGAAAAAACGATTATTGGTAGGTACACCTAGAAATCCATTCAGTCGTTTGTTACTATAATAACTTTTATCCTATATTAAAAAGCAGTGCAGAAAATAATATACTGACGTGTTATCAAAATGTTTTGAAATATAACTTTTAATAATTACAATAATTATAGTACAATTTTTGTTCAGGTTTCAGACATTATAACCATGATTACAGACTGCAAGTTTTTTTCTTGCAGATGGTGTCTGCATGAAAAATATCATTGTAAACAACTGCAGCATCCCCAATTTTTGATAATAACAGAAGAGGGCTAATAAAAAGCTAGCTGCAACAAAAGCGTAACACCCTGAAGCTAAAGGAAAATAATATAAGCGCGTACCAGCAACTGTTATCCATTCCGGTTTATGTTTCTTGTGCTTTTTCCCCATCTCCGGTAATAGAGCTTAAGCTAAAATGTTTACTTTCGTTTTACTTCCAGTGTTAGCTGGCTACTTGAAGCGAGCTAATGTTAGCCAAAAGAAGAAGAAGAAAAAGAAGAAGAAGAACGATGAGGCGGAAGTAAATCTGCGCAACAGTGTATTACTTCCGGTGTTAAAATCAAGCGCGCTGTGTTTAATTTTCGGCGTATTTTCACTTTGATGATAGTTTTTTTAGAAATTAAAAACGACTTCAACATCAGCTCGAAAACAAAGAGGTTCTTAAATGTGTTTTGAATATTTGTCGTTTTAGTATACTGGTTTTTGTGCGCTTTAGCTAGCATTAGCGTGAACGGATAGCCAACTCAAGTTATAAACGTTCCTGTAGAAAACTTAGTTCTTGAAGGGTTGTAATTTATAAACGCCTGCACATGAATCTGGATTAAGCTGGTTTTTAGAGCTTTGTACAAATGGAAGGTGAAGTAATGGAGGTGGCACCCATACAGAGCATCCACGTAGAGGTCCACGTTAAATCTTTGAGGTAAGTATTAATAGTTGAGTCTTTAACACATAAGTGGTGCTAAAGATGCTCAACTTAAACATCCCGGTATTTCCTAGGATACCTTCTTTGGTTATCTCTACGCGTTTGGTTCACTTCCTCATTTTACCATTTATCTGATCTCTGACACTCATTCATTCCCCCTGATGAATATGTGTTTTAACAGTTAAAATACATTTCACTTATTTTCATGCCTTTAAACAAATAGGAAAAACTCGTTAATATATGCAAATCTATGTAAAACGTTAAAGAAAGGATAGTTTTGTGTTTATTATGAGCATTTTGATGGACACTAAATGACTTTCATGCCCACATTTGATTTACATCATCAGTGGCAGAGATTCTGGAGCTCATGAATACAATTAAATATTTTTGCTCATTCTGTGCATCTGCAAGTTTGATGTATCTGATTTTGTTCTTCAGTTTCTTCACCATGCTTATCTCTATCTGCTCCACCCTCACTATATGCAACATTTCCCAGATATTGGCCCTTCTTAGCCTACCCTGGCATTTGGTGTATTTCAAAACAATACATAAAAAAAATATAGTTGTTAAAATTAAGGTTTGATTTCATGCCATTGGAGGAAAGGAACTGGCAAATTATTCCTGAGGGTGTTTCATTATTTCTGGCCTTGTAGGTTTAGAGAGGTTTTTTGGTGCACTAAGCCCATTTGTCCAGTAGATGGCAGTGTATAGAACAGCACCGATTATGATGGGTTTATAAATGGAAATAAGAATAACCATATTGCAGCTTTTGATTGATATCTAACATGCTGGCCACTATGTTTGATAGGGCCTAATCATAATAAGGCCATCTGCTTTCTGGAAAAGTTATAACTGCCTATTGCTGTCTGAAATATCCAATACATTCTGTCCACTGGTGACAAGATCAAGACTTCGTATTTTTATCCCAAAAAATCACACATCACAAAAAAATTCAAGGAAAATATTCAAAAAGGAAACTGATTAATTAAACTTTTATAAATACATACAAAGGAAAAAATAAAATAAAGTCTCCAAATATTTGAGGTTGCAGTTATACTAATGTTTCCAAAAGAAAATCCCTTTATTGTCCCACAGAAATTGTGGTTTATTAGTATTCTTATTAAGGATGTGTGAGTCTGTTAAACCCCAATATTACCTGCCTTTGGTGTGTCAGAACTAATGTTTTCCAAAGTAGTAGTTTAACTCATAACTCATAGTTTCTCTGTCCGAATATACACTTATCATCTTCATTATGTACGTGGCAAAGATTTGGGAATGGAATGAGAACGGTCTCCTTGATCTAAATACAAAGTGTAATATTTTTATAAGACCGGAACCATGGATGTCTCCTCATTTACACACGTGTATCATGTAATGATGTGATTATGTGGCATAGTAGGGTTAAATAAAATGCTTCTCTAACTGTGATTCGGGTCCACTTCACGAGATGTGAGCCCGCGCTACCTTCTGTAGCTATTGCTGCAACTAACGATTATTTTGCAAGTTGATTAATCAGTCAATTATTTTTTTCAAATAATCGGATAGCCTAAGATTCCTAAAAGAAGATTTTTTTTATCAAATTAAACGAGGTAAAACTCAATTTATTTTTCCATGTGAGGATTTCTGGATAGAGCATAGTGACAGACATTTTTTATTTTATTTTTTTAGCTCAAATGCAAATGTTAATAGTTTTTTTTTCTTCACAATTGGTATAATTACTACTCCACATGGGTTGCTCTGTCAGCTAAAGGCATGTTTTAGATTCTCTATACTCCAGTTACCACTTAATCGATTACTAAATTAGTTGATGATTATATCAATAATCAATTTATTAGGGTTAATCCAATTTATTGTTTCAGCCCTATCTGTAACCCTGAAGCAAATTCTCTGATCTAAGTAAGAATACAATTACTGTCAAATTTGCTCTTATGGTTATTTAACACATATACATTATGAAGTGTTATTTAAAGAGTTTTAAGTAGTTATTTAAAGAGGAAAAGAACCGGGGAGAGAAAACTTCAAGGTTTAAACACAGGGCTTTCCTTTACATATCTCATTGCAGCATATTTAGAGTTCAACAGTAGCATTCTGTTACTGGACTCAGTTAGTCAACAAATTTTTTCCTCAAAACAGCCACGAAAGAACTGACAGCAGATGCAAATGGTACAAGTAAAGAAAAAAGAAAAGAATAAACAGATTTAACGCTAAACTAGTGATGTGTTTAAACAATTGGATGTTGGATCAATATTGATCACATGTAAAGTAATGAATACCACTGTAGTTAGATGCAATCTGTTTCCACAGCAACTTGCTTGATTTCCTTCCTCGTTTCTTTTTCAGCACAGCTAAACTCTCTGAGGTGAAGATGCACGTCCAGGCACTGCTGAATCGCCACAGTATGGTGTTTGGAAACTACAGATGGACTGAATTTGATGATGAATTTCTTTATAAGCACGTGGAATCTGTGGCCATTGTTGATTTTGAGGAAATAATTACACAGGTTTGTTTTCTGAGTAATTTTTTTGTTTTTTTTTTATGCTGCAGTTTTTTTCTTTAAAAAGAATAAAGCTGGAAGGTTTTGTTTAAACATGTAAGTGTTGCTTTATCTTCAGCCCCTGGATTTAAAGAACTGTGATGTCTCCATTCACATTTTCACCCTGAACGAGGAAGGGCCCAGCATGCTCAGTTTGGAGGAGGATGAGGAACTCTCTGCTGCTAATCATTGGCTGCTGCCAGCAGGTGCAGAACTCTTACTTAAAAAAAAAAAAAAAAAAAAAAAAAAAAAAAAACATATGTATGCCCTAGTGGTTAGGGCATAGAACTTGGAAACCCTGAGGTTCTGAGTTTGAGCCCCACTCCCACAAACTGCCACTCTGGGTCTCTGAACAAAAGACCCTTAACCCCACACTGCTCCTCAGGTGCCGCACAATGGCAGCCCAGTGCTCTCCAAGGGGATGGGTTAAATGCAGAGGTTAATTTCTCCAATGTGAGATCAACAAAGTTCAGTTATTGTTATTATTATTCTCTCGTTGATTTCTCAATGAAAGGCCCGCAGCATTACGGGTCCTTTACCATACTTAACAGTGGGCATAAAGTGCTCTCTTTTTTTCCTATTTCCATTCTTCGTGTAATGTTAGAGCATCCCTGAGCACAGTTTCAACCGACCAAAGCAGATGGATGAAGTTCTAGTGTGTAGAAAGTATATTTTTGGACTATAGAATTAGAAAACCTTAAGCCTGCAGTCATTTTCCTCAGTCATGTCACTGTCTGTCCTTCCTATGGTGAAGGAAGGATCAGATACATTTATACCCCTTAACGACTAGGCACACATACATTTTGTTACCTGCTAATGTGATTTTTTTTTTTCTCTCACTTAATGTTCTATACCTTATTCACTTTGACTTTTAATCATTATAAGGAGTTTTACACATATCCTAGAAATCCCACTTTGTATACGCAGTCCTGTCAAGCTTTGGATATTCAAGGTTTAAAGTGAAGTAATCAATGTAAGAGTGAAAGTAGATTGTTTTCTTTTAATCACCCTTGAACTTAAAGAGAAAATATCTTGGTGCTTAAGCTTAAAACCTGTTTTCATGATTGCAGTAATGTTTATTTTCTGGGAAGGGTTTACCTGTGTTTTATCATTAAGGATTGATCTTATCTAAATATTCCTTCATATTGATCTGTGTCTCAACAGCTGAGTTCCATGGGATCTGGGAAAGCCTTGTATACGAAACAGGAGTGAAAACCAGGGTAAAGTCGACAATCCGAGCTGTGAATTGAGAAAACCACAGCTACTCTGCCTTAACATCTTAATTCTGATGTATTTCTTCAGCTCCTCGATTACGTCACAACAACCATTTACTTCTCAGATAAAAACGTCGATAGCAACCTGATTTCCTGGAACCGGGTTGTGCTTCTCCATGGTAAATACTTCAACATCCTACTGACTGAAACTGCTGGATCGCTCTGATTTACCTCTCTGTCTGTAAACACATTCAGGACCTCCAGGCACAGGGAAAACATCGCTCTGCAAAGCTCTTGCCCAGAAACTGTCAATCAGGCTGTCAAGTCGGTAAGACAGCTTCCATCCTAGTGAAACAATGACTTTGACTGTGGCCTCAGCTCTTCTATTCATTTCACAATACCCTCCATGCCCTGCAGGTATTCCTATGGCCAATTTGTGGAGATAAACAGTCACAGTTTGTTCTCGAAATGGTTCTCAGAGGTACACCTGGCTTCTTTGTTGGAACATTTGTTAACCCGAAGGGTATTTGAAACCGGATTCTCTTTTCTCTCCACTAATTCTTGGTCTTTGTTTTAGAGCGGTAAGCTGGTCACAAAGATGTTTCAGAAAATCCAACAACTGATCGACGACAAAGAGGCTCTTGTGTTTGTTTTGATCGATGAGGTATAATCTGTTTCATGAGAAATTACCTAAAGTTAAAATCTATTCAGGTTGCTTCTATTTTAACCTTAAAACATCAAAGAGTAACAACAGATGTTTTTCTTTTCTTTCTGTGAACCTGTTACGGGATGAATTTCATGATGAAGGTGGAGAGTCTGACAGCAGCCA